GCATCCGTTGCCAGACGAGGCACTCGGGCTGCACGTCCACCAGGGTGTACTCTATCTTGTCGGCGTAGTTGGCCGTCGTGTAGCCGCACGACTCGAGAGCACGGCCGAGTGGTGCGCCATCCACACCCCACGGAACTCTGGCAGATAGGTACCTGGGGGGAACGCATTCATCCACAGCCACCAATCCAATCAGCCAGCCAATGAATATATCGATGATGCCTGCACGCACCTGAAGTAGTACTGAATGCCGGTCAGCGGCTCGTTCAGAAAACGCGCTTCAAGCTGCACCGTGTTCCTTCAGCCACCGCACACCACAGCACAGCACTAACCCAAACCTCCACACTGTCAATGCAGCTGCAGTGTTGCCTCATGGGTTGCGCACTTTGCTTAGATGAGCACAAACGAGTCGACATCCACTCCATCGGCATTGAATTTGCTCGCCATGTTGTGCAGCTGTGCCACGGGGCTAAAGTCGGTCCGGGCGAGTCTGGCGTCGAGGTGTGGGGCGAGCTCCCGCTGCAGCGGAGGATGAGGGGCACCACCTTGCTGCGCTTGATGGGCCGGCAGGTCACCGCTTTCCAAGGCCGCTCGTCATCCATTCAACCAATGGATCACGGACACACGCGGAGGGCACCAGGGCTGCCCTTCAAGGCAAGCTGATGAAATGCGCCGATGAGTCGGATGAAATCGCATTGGCGGATATCGGCCCTCATGCTTCAGCATCTCTATCAACACGTCCGTAACAGTTGCCTGAAGCTTGTGGAAACAATTGTTGCGTCCACAGCATATCGCACTCACCGGAAAGAGCAAAAGGACGCGAAAGTCTCCCCGAGTCTGACCGTGAGGCGTTCAGGTGACCCGAGCTCGCTGCTGGCAACAGCCAAAAGTGAACGAAGAGATCTCACAGCGTGGGAAGCAATAGAGTAGATCTGTGTAAGTACGTGGATAAAAATGCTCGGTGGGCTGTCCTGACGGCTTGTTGTCTCCTCTGGCGGCTCAGCGGCAGTGGGCTCACCACCAGGAGGAGCATTGCGTCGGTCAACGGGGCCACGAGAGATCTTTGTCCGTTGCAGCAACGCGAAGAAGATCTGAAGCCCTCGAAGACTGTGCGTGAGGTGAGAGCCCGTCTGTCCTCTCCCTCTCGAAAGGTGAGCTCGCATTTTGTGCCCCCGTCAAACCCCCAGCCTTTTCCGCATTCCCTTTGCTTTTTTCTTTCACTTGTCGCGTCAATGGTCTCAGTGCGGAGCGGGAAAAGGAAAAAAAGAGAGAAAGGAATTTGCCAAAGTCGGTGATCGAGTGAGGATCGAATTGCCCCTTTTTCTCACAGCTGACACTTCGCTCGTTTGATTTTGGTGCACGAGATTGTCCAGTGGGAGCCCCGAGGACCATCCAGCGAGAAAAAGAAGGAAAAGAAAGAGGAAAGACTTTTCACTCCAGCTCGCACCATTGAGCATGACCTCGTCAAAGGGTGCCGTGCATTCTGACTGCTGAGTGCCGACGGCGGAGCGTCACAATCAGCTGCTACTGGTGTCATGGTGGACGT